TCCCCCTAACAAACTTTTAGTAGGAACCTACCTTGGATTTAGATGTTGGAGCTGAATTCTTTGGCCCTGGTCTGCCCTAAATTTCCTGCTTGAAGTTCCACTGTTCCTCTGTGTTCTGTTGTAACAGGACTGTCCATTCCCCCCTACTCAGAGCTGCCTTGAGCTTCAGTTGGGCATTGTAGTGTCTCCTTTATTCTTCCTTGGGCTACAAGTGGAAGTGATTCTTGAAAGTCCTGTCCTCACCTCTGTCCATTTCTTTCCATCTATCCAGCCTGTCTGAACCCTAGTCACCAGCAGGCTGTTAGGTCTGGCTCTATTTATCTTTTCACCTGTGGGTGTGAGCCTAATCACTTGAGGGGACTTTAATGGTGACTCCCCTGTCCCAAGGACCTTATCCATTTCCTGTTGGTTCTTAGCTGCCTCCAGCACAGACTTCCTTGTATCATTCTATTTGAGCTGGAGCTACTTATTAAACCTTATAGTAAATTCCTCTTTCTTTCTTTCATTTTTTAAAAATTGATTTTGATGAGGAAAGGAGAAGGGGAGAGATATATAAACATCAATGATGAGATAGAATCATTGATTGGCTGCCTTCTACACTCCCCACACTGGGGATCAAGCCTGCAACCTGGGCATGTGCCCTGACCAGGAATTGAACCATGACCTCCTGGTTCATAAGTCTATGCTCAGCCACTGAGCCACACCAGCCGGGCAATTCCTGTTTCTTGTCAGGAATTTCTATAGTTCTCTGCGTAGGAGTAGAACTGAGAACACTGATAGGTCTTGAGTTTACTTATATCCCAAGTCCTATTTGATGTCTTGTCCCTCGGGTAACTATTTCAAAGTGAATTGCTAGAATCCTGTTTAATAACTTTAATTTTGGAACAGAAACATACTTGAAAAATACAGTAATAATTGCAGATAACTCCTTCCCAAAAGAGCAGGCTCACTTTCAACACATAAATGTTGATTTTTAACCATTGATTTTTTCATTTACTGATTCATTTATTTGACACATATCACCGGCCCCTTACTCATGAACTGAATTTGATGGAAGAATTCCTTCTACTTGTTTCACTTAGGAGTTGACCAAGGAAATTTCTGCTGTCCAGTTAACACAGGGAAAAATAAGAGGTTCAGAGGCTCCTGGCGGCAACAAAATTAATTTTGACCCGATTTTTTAAAAAAATGTAATTTTCAATAAAACAGGGGGTCCTTATTTGCTTGCTAGAAACACTTTACTGATTTATTTCTCAACATCCCACCCCTGGTACATAAAAAATGCTGACCGAAATGTTTAAAAACCCTTAAGCTTCATTCACAATTCTGTGTGAATCTACTTTGTCATAAGATTTTTATTTTTGCCTACCTTAAATTTAGGCTGTAGAGATAAATTAGCTCATTGTGTCATCTTTTAATTATCATAAATATAAGTGTCTATGACATGCTTTAATTTACTTGCATTTAATCTCAAATATAGCTGTAGTAATAGAATGGGATATTTCTCAGTGTTTCCTAACTATCACCCTGTGAATTATATAATAAATAAGGGGCACGATTTTGTCTGATAGATGAGGAAACTGAGTCACAAAGCAGTGAAATGTCTATCAAAGATCATCCACTGTCTGTGGCTACAGAAACTACTAACTTCTCTGTTAGGAAATAAAATGGTGCAAATGTATACAGCTACCTCCAATCAACCTCCATGAGATGAGCTCTTCTGTGATGATTCTATTATACATTTTCCTCATTTTGAGTTTCTTCACACACTGGAAATCATGGTCATTTTCTTATTGTTTATTTTTATTCAAATTTTGCTTATAACTTTAAATTTATTGTCATCTGTGTGTGGTTTTGATTATAGATTGTGGCTGCTAAAGAGTAAAGGTCACAACTTTATTTAGTTCATCTCTTTAGTGCGTAGGGTACAAAGTTAAGCATATATTAGGGGTCAATGGATGTTTAGCCGATTTGCCATCTCATATTGTTTTGAGTGAAAAGTTCCTAAGGAAACTCTGCTGACTGGTGGTCAGTGAAGTAACTCAAGGCCAGAGAAGTTTCCTGCCTGAGTCGTACACCTGACCATGTCTGTGGGCAGATATTATGAAGAGCAGAAAAAAATAGCTTAGGCTGAGCATCTGAAAAACTTGCCATGTAAAGATTTAGCCTGTGTGTCAGAACTTAATGCTGGTATTCTGACTTCAAGCTCCACACTTTGTCTCTCTGTTTACTTACTCCTTATAAACATAGCATTTTAGATATTGGGTCAAATTCCCTCCAACTATGGGAATGAATAGTGTGTATGGAAACATTTTCTTACATTAAAATCAAGAAACAGGGAGGCAAATACTTCTTATCCAACTAAAATGCTCTTATAGTAGTTCATGAACTTAAAAGGCAATTGGATGTTGAGATATCCTAATAGTGGTAACTGAAAAATCCCCACACAATTCAAAACTTTGATTTAAAAAAATTCTTGCCATTTTGGAAATTTTCTATTTTTATTTCTGCATGTATTTCCGTTTATGTCCCAATTTCTGGGAAGCCAGTTATTGAAATATTAGTCCTAAGTCAAAGTCAAATATCTCACACAAACAATAGCATTTCTCTAAAGTGCAATACTTCTGTGCAACTGGAGTGTGCATTTCATGAGCAGAACTCATTTGATCTGATTCTATCATATTCACAAACACAGGCTCAGTTTGAAGTGATAGTGATAATGCTCTCTAACAAGTATCCACTTCTTTAGACATCCCCTCATTTGGCCCTCATAATGGCTCTATTAGTTGGGTAAAAGAGTCATTATGATTATTAACATGCCCATTGGAAACTGATAATCTCAAAGTTGTGGTCAAACATGTTACTGTCCAAGGCATAAGCTGCTATGTAGTGTATGTGTGGGTGTGTGTTGGGGGGCATTTCATTAAGTGCTTATTACGTATTAGAATGACCAACAGGCATTCAATTTTTATATTAGTCTAGAGGCCCAGTGCATGAATTCGTGCATAGGTGGGGTCCGGCTGGCCTGCCCGATAGGGGCCCATCGGGCTGGGCTGGCGGGGAGGAGGGGCCATGGACAGTTGGCCGGCTGCCCTTGCCCCCAATTGGGATGTTGGGGGCTGATCGGAGTGTTGGGGGCTGATTGGAGGCTGGGCTGGCCTTGGGGGGCGGGGGTGATCAGGGCCTGGATCAGGCTCGCTGGCCACCACAGTGCATGTCATAGCCATCGGTCGTTCTGGTCATTCTGGTCGTTCTGCCGTTTTGGTCGCTGGGCACACACACACACACACACATACATATATATATATATAATATATGACGAAGGTTAAGAACATGGGTTTTATCACTTACTAATTCTATGATGTTTGACAAATATAAACTTTCTCAGTATCATCATCTTAGAAATGGAGAAAATAATTCACTTACTAGAAAATTAAATAAGTTAAGGGATATAAAGTTCTTAGCACAGGATTTGCAGCATACTAATCATTCAACAAATAAAACTCTTAGTATTAATCCAGCTAAACCTCATCACACACACATACACACATATACATACATATATCACCAACCCTATGAGCAGAGCAACATTTATGTATTCTTTTTTTATGATCACTCCTTGGATGATCTCATCTAGTTTTATGATTCTGAATACTATTCATTGATGACTTCCAAATGTATATCTTCAATCTCTACGTCTTTCCTGAACTTGTATATTCAACTGCCTACCTGACATCTCCTTCTGGATGTCTCCTAGCATCTAAAATGTAATGTGCCCCTGAAATGAGCTCATCCAACACCTCCTGCAACTTTCCCTACCACCTAGGTTTGGGGAAAAGAAATGGAAGAGGTTAGAATTATTAAAACTTGGAGACGCAGAGGCTGGTCCTAGGGGCTGGGACCCAGACCTCTGAGGAGGTGGCCCAGGTTGCCTGGTGCAGGTGTCTCTGAGGCTAGTTTCACAAGCATCAGAGAAACTGCTGCTATGAGAAGAACCTGCTAATGTTGGAGTGAAGAGGCATTTCTGGGGTGACGCTCAGAGGAACAGGATACGAACAGGAAAAAGCATGCCCTTTCTCCCTCCAGCAGCCTTGTAGTCTCCCTCTAGTGCCCCAGATTGGCATTGCCTAACAATGAGCAGCTGGAAAAACCAAAATGTAATTTGCAGAGTCCAGGCTCCAGCACCATAAAGCAGGATGTGTGTATTGGAGTGAAGAGGCATTTCTGGGGTGACGCTCAGAGGAACAGGATACGAACAGGAAAAAGCATGCCCTTTCTCCCTCCAGCAGCCTTGTAGTCTCCCTCTAGTGCCCCAGATTGGCATTGCCTAACAATGAGCAGCTGGAAAAACCAAAATGTAATTTGCAGAGTCCAGGCTCCAGCACCATAAAGCAGGATGTGTGTAAGGGAGATGTA